ATATGTATAAAAAAGATAACTTCGAAGCAGTAGAGGCAGAGTGGACGACAAATTTGAAATCATAGGTGTAGATATTCGAGATAGGAATTTCAACAAACATCAGTGGGAAAATTATAGTCACGATAGATCACAGCAAGACGAACACGAAACGTTGCCAAAGAGCTTATTAGAGAGAAACCCGTGTAATCAGGAAAGTGGAAAAAACACGTCATTATTGGAGGAGACTAAATTTACCGCAGCTTAGGCTGGGGAGGAGTTGCGGCTGAAGGCCGCTGCTCAACGCTTCCACTAAACGAACTGGGTCCGAAAATGGCTTAACACAGGTAGTGACCAAACCGACCCGCGATAATGCTGTACTGGACGTTTTCCTATGATGTTTTTTTTTTTTTTTTTTTACCGGTAGACCAATTTCTTGCCTGCTGAGGTAATTTCCTGGAATTAAGCTATCACAAAGAGTCCTCCTAAAAATGTGGCAGAGAGGCGTAAAAACCGAAATGATCTTGTAAAGAAAGAGAAAATTTTTTTCATTTCTCGAACAAACGTCACAAACATGCAATTACACTTGAAAAAGCTATGTTCCGCGTCTTTGGAGCTTCTAGAGGATGTACAGTTTTAGAACAGATCTGGTCAAATTTTAAGAACGTTATTTTCTTGGAATTCTGGTGTAGCCAAAATTCTTGCCTACCAGGAAACCTAGGCTTGCCATCGGATCCTGTGACCTATAACCCAAGAAGCTGAGTGCGGACTGAAAATGCAGGTTAGGAAAGGCGTATAGTAAAACGTAATATAAATAAAGAATCAAAAGAATAATTTTTCTACAATATCTTAAAGGACTTATTAGCCATTAAAGCTTACAGACCAGGAAAAATTACCTGAAAAATCAATTCTAAAACACCGATTGAACCTGTTGGCAAAATTTCTTTCAAGTATGTGAGACATACGGAAAGGGAACAAAAGAAAGTATTCCAGCATCTGCGGAGCAGCCATGTTTCGTTAATACAGATGACCCAGTGAAAAGACGGCTTGTTTAAACAGACATTATTCATCTGGCTTTTTCAAGCCGAAGAATCAAACGCCTAAAAGTGAAACAACACCGCTAATAGACACCTCCGAATCGATTGGAGGAAATTATAGAAAACGAATTGCAAAAATTAGGAGGAATAAATCAGTAGGTCTCGATGGAATACCAGGGAGAAATAGCTAACAACTGGAGGGGAGAAGCCATGATTCCGTACCTGGCGGTTAATGGAGGTTACTGTAATAATAGGCATGATTCCTGCCCAAATGAAAAGAGGCAGTCGTAGGCCGATTTAAAAGGAGACGAATAGAAGCGATTGTTAACAATTACAGGGCTATAAGTTTGACATCAGTTTCGTATGCAAACAGATGGAACACATAATCGCGGAAGTATATTAGACGAAGTTTGGGTCAATAAAAACTGATTGCGCTATTTCAAAATCAACACGGCTTTCGTCCTGGCTATTCGTTGCGACAAGCCAGACAATTGCTTTCTTGTCTGGACTAGCAGATTCAATAGACGAAGGGAGTTAGGGTCGACGCAATAATATTAGAATTTTTCTAAAGGCATTTGATCTCTGATTCCTCACCCAGCCTTTTAACTTGCCCAAATTGCTCAGAAACGGAAAGATCATCGAATAATCCTTGCTGGATAAAAGAATTTCTTACGGGCGCACTCAAACAGTCAGAATTAGGGAGACAAATATTCATCGAAACCGATGTAACCTCGGGGCGCCCCCCAGAGATGTGTTAGGGCCTTGCCTATTCTTTAGCGTTCATTAATACATGCAAACTGGAATTTAAAATCCAAAAGTTAGACTTTTTCCGCGACCGATTGCCAATAATATTATAGGCAGTATTGGCTCGATCTGGTGGACAAAAAGTGTTTACAGAGCGATCTTAACTGTTATGGGAACTGGGCGTGTAGAGAAATAAGCATGGAATTAAATCCGGAAAAGAGTAAAATTTCAATTTGGCTTTACCAAGTCTCGGTCTCGAACGTACGCCTCCAGTTATGAATTAGGAAACAACGTATTAACCATGTGTAAAAAACCTGTAAGGTATTTGGGTTGGTCCTGCCGAAGGCGACTTAGAATTGTCGGAAATCCATATTAACAATGCTGATTAAAAAATCCTGGAGGAGCGCTGCACTTTGAATGCGTATTCTAAAAAATAGTAGTCCAAATGCCCGATCCCTAGCATATACTACACTTGTTTCTTCCCAATTTTAGAATATAGGAGCGTTCATGCTGGGACCCCGCACAGAATTAGGCAAATCGAAGCGTTAGATAAAATTCCAAAAACGGGCCTGCAAAGTTTTGGTAAATAACACTGGTGCGTGGTTGACGCGAACCGAGAAGAATGGGAGTCCTTATTCTAAGAAGAAGGAACGGGCGCGTTATGACGTAATGTATAAAGACGTTATACGGCTGGGACACACGCATGGGCAGATATCGGGTTTAAAAATTACAGAAATCAGATTATAAAAGCAGAGGAGGACCATCCTTGGAAAAAAACATGTAGAAACAAAGAACTATGTAGGACAATTTCTCCTTGTGAATCGCCACGTATAGTAGGATTGCGAATAATCTACCCTTCAGAAGCACTAGACTGACTAATACTGACTCAGACTTCACTTTTATTATATTATTATTATATATTAATAATATTATTACTTTTATTATTAATATATCTATTACTTTTTATTTATTATTGTTATAATGAGTTATCGTCATTCCCTTAACAGTGAAGTGATGTGAAGTGTTAAGTGTAGTGAAGTGTTATGTTAAACTAGAAGTGAATTTAGAGTCAGCTAGAAAAAAATTGGAAACTATGATATCGACCCCTATTCTAATAGTACGTCTAATTGTAAATGTTGAAAATGGTTAGCAATCTAATTTTAATTGTTATCATGTTTGCCCACCGAGAATGAGCTCCAAAGCGAACTTTAATAAATCTCGGTAAAATATCTAACTCGGTTTTTCGCATCTTCTGCTTCTGCGATTGCAACTCCTGATGTCTTGCTCTTTCATTGATGATGAACCCCACTGTATATACGGGCATAAATCATCTAAAATCCATTGAGCCTTTAGTTTCTTTTTTGTTTCTGTAACATGCTAATTCCACTTTTTGATTTCATTATATTAATTAGGACGTATTGCCTCTTTTCCTGTCAACGGCTCTAACATTCCAAGTCATTATTTGTAAATTTCCGCTAAGTTCCGAAATCATGTCCTTTCCGTGCGTTGCTCGTATATGGGGCGTCCGGATTTGTAATTGTTAGCCGGGTCCCTGTGGAGAAATTGATTTTTTTCACCCTGAATAGGTTCTAGCCCATATGCAAGTGTTAGTTTAGTGCATGCGGTATGCCATCTCACTTGCCATCCAAACTTTGCCACGACAGTTTTTCGACGTTGCTTCGCCCTAGAATGGCATTGCCTTCCAGGGCTTTTGAGGTTGCATCTACCCCAGGACGTCTTCCATTATCTTTTCCACCGCCAAGGATGCTTCCAATGCATGGTTCTTCTTTAGCAATTTCTTCCCGAAAATCGTCGTTCTTGGCGTAAGGGTTCTCTTCTGGAGTACTTCTTCGTTCTCAACCGCCTATCCCGTTGATCTGTCCGGCAAGGCACGCCATTAAACAGTAGCTACGCTTACCCGCCGGCATAGGCTCCGGGTCAATGGGGTACTCAAGCTCCCTGGGCGGAGTAGCTCTGAAGTACTAGCTTCAAATGCTGCGTTACAATGTTCCTTCGTAAAAATGTCCTCAGGTTTTCGCCTGATTTATTGCGGTTCGTGTTACAAATTCTTTTCAACTAATTTTGAAACTAGCTGTCTCTACGAAAAAACTTGAGGTCATGCATAATTCAAATTTTTAAAAATTGTTATAATACATATTTGTTATTGTTTGATACTTCAAAATTTCCAGCATAATTGCTTGCCTTACGTCTCTATGATAAATATAAAATTTCTTTTGTTAATTATTATAGAAGTAAATTCGAAACAGAAGAATGTTTAAAGGTACGATCCCCATTTGCGGGAGGTCATTTAACCATTTCTAGACATTTTCAATGCTCCGGTATTTTTCCCGTTTGTGATATCATGTTAGGATAGAGAGCGCATTAAAGAAGATTAGCTCAGCATTATTAGAAGATATACTTCGAATCAAATTCATGATAGATTATACAGCAAAAATGAAAGATGTGTTATCAGATATCGTAGAAACTTCCTCCCGACAGAAGTAGATGAATGTCCACAGACAAAGGTGACACTGATGAAGCATGATCTCCAGGAACGGCGGTTGCAAATTTTCAATGCTAACCTTGAGATCTTAGAAGACTCAACGCGTACTAATGGACCAATTGAGCGTTCTTACCATCGCGGAAAGACTATTACAACCCCGCCAAGCCATCAACTTCCAAAAAATCCAGTCCGTCACCAGGGACAGCCGTCGAAGTCAACATCGCCCAGTGACAGCACCAGTGTTACGCAGTGAGCTTGTGACTTTCCTTAGTCTGCGCTGTTAATTGTGGACAGTTTATTAATCACAGCAAATACTACAGAGAAGTATAAAACCGTTATCTTTTCCTCCCCTACGGGGGGACAAGGTTAACGGGAAATGACCTCGAATGAAGCACTCGGCACCTCACGGTCAACCTTTCAAGTGCGCACAAACTGGGATAATATTCGTACAAAATTTCTATCGTATCCGGACAAAGACCAAGGTTTTGCATAATGATGGCGAAAGGACTACTTACATCTCTAGCAAAGGTATGATAGAAAGCCTTAGCTGACTATGTTTCACCCACGAAAACATCATTTACGCTTCCAAGATCTCAAAACAGCAGAGTGTGCATCCTTTCTTTAGCAGTGAGCAAATTTGTGATGAAGTAAACCAGATAAATACAAATCTATTAATATAGATGGAATGAACAAAATATGCGAACCAATTTGTCAATAAGCCGAGGCGAGGAGTTTTTGTCAATTGTTTACCCAATGATCCCCAAGTAGTAATTGAAGAAGAACTTGATAAATTGAACGTAAAGTGCGAAGGCTCTAACGTGTCTTTCCTTTAGAGCGGCATTGCGAAAAGAAGAGATTCACTCATATTCTAAGCTTTCGTAGGCAAATGTATTGCCGGAAGACTCCACTAAACAAAATACCTAAATTCTATGGTAGTTGAGTACAAAGGGAGAGAGAAATGCGATTGATATTTCTTATTGGCACTATTAAATAGGCTATCAATGCAAGGAAGAAGCGTCCATTTGTAACAAGAAAAGCTGTAAAAATGTTTAGATAATAATTATTCTAATTATCACTGCAGATTTAGCACAAGTCACAAAACAGGAAATGTTTGAGCACACACCACTACGATATTCTACTTTGATCCGACAGACTTCCCTTTAATTCGAGACATGGGAAAGACAAGCTAAAAGGAACACTTCGCCAGCAATCACAAATACAATCTCAGTAACTAAACCATCGAAGCCACCCTTGAATAGTTCGGAAGAAAAGAGACAAGGAATTTGCTAAACAGCAAAAGAACGGAAAAAGAAGTGCAATCGAGAAAACAACTGAAAAATTTAAAAACTGAGAAAAAGAACATAGTGAACAGTTAGCCTCCCATTTAAAAAAACATAGAGAAACTTACCAAAGTTCCTTAATTTGATGAACAAACTCAAAGATTTTCTATGAAGATACGTACGGCGGAACTAATGAAGGCACTACAAATATCTCTGAATTTATACTGAGGCAAACTGCATTTTAAAAACTGATTGCACTGCTTAGAGATAAATTTAGCCATTACTAGTGGATAAGAGGCATGAAGTGTTCCCGTTTTACAGAATCATGAAGAGGGGTTGAAGATCGTAGCGTCGCATTCCTCAACAGAGCATCTTCGGAGAACGAATGTTTATTTATCCAAGTAAAGAAGAAGAATGAAAATCCAAAATTCTGCAATGGAACGTGAACGACTTCCGGGACACATACAAGTTCTTCCAAAACTTCAAAATGAGGAGAACCTTCGATCATTGTCATGTATACAAGAATCCAATGTTTAAAAATAACCATTAAAACCATATCAAAGGTTTTCATATCAAGTGCTTACTACAAAAATACGCATCGTCATGTGACAATGCTAGTGGAGGTGTGGCAATTTACCGTTCTGCGAATTCGTTTGTAAGCAGCTGAAGTGCAAAAAATAACAATAGCTTGAAGTAGTGGTGTATCCAAATAAATATAGGATCTCCAGAAACATCTCATGTTGAGCCAACTATATACATCCCCGAGGTCATTTCCAACTGCATAGTTGTAAACTTGTAATCTAATTCAACAATTTAATAACCATTAATATTACTAGGGGATCTTTAATTGTCACAATGTTAATGGCTCAGTAAGAACGGATATCAGGGGTAAAATAGTAGGTGGTTGTTTAGAAAAGAAGACCTTTGTGTTATTAAATGATGACAATAAGGCCTACATATTTCACGTTGGCAACAGGCGAAATGTAAGTACTACCCACCCCTTAATGACTGTAGTACGCCGAATCTAGTAGAAACTTACAATGGAAAAGTTTCCGATGACTATTCAACAAGTGACCATATATCCTATCACCGCTGATGCTTCGAAGATACATCGGAACATGAGGTTATTTACGAGCCGCGATGGATTCTCTCGAGCAAATTGGAGCCTATATCAACGAATTAATAGAAGGCAAGATTAAACATTAGAACAGAACGATAATTTTGAACTTAAAGACAAAATAGATGCAAATTAGGCAGCTTTGAAGAAATAGTCTATGACCACGCTGTGGTAACCATTCCGAAAACTACAGGTAAAATAGGCAAAGGAACTTAACCGTGTGGTCTCAAACAACTGTGAGGAGGATGTAAGAACTACAAGCAATTTGTTTAATGTATATAAGAGGCATAATACGGATATGCAAACAAAATCCTATCAAATCTGCCAGAGCAAAAAGCAAAGGAAAATAATAAAAGAAACCAAAAGAAACGGTTGGAGCGGAATTTCTTTCAATCAATTAATTAAAAAATGAATCAGTACAGAAGCTGGAAAAGAATCAATGCACAATAAATGGAAAAATACAAAAGTACCAGCATTACTTCACTCTACACTCTCCACGGTTACACAACTACATGCATCCTTGGATAATATGCAAACAGCTTTTCGGGTCTATTTTCATCAAACTCTAGTGATCAGAATATGCATAATGCTTTCATCTAAATACAAAAGAAGAGATTTGAGAAATTAATCCGATCTGAGGAAGGAAGCACAGTACGATAATGATATTCAACATCTGAACGCAAATCCAATCACACCAAGAAAAACGCATGAAGCAAGACATAAACTTAAAAAACACCAGTGCCGGACCTATGTATCTCTCTCCCTTTTTAAGTTGGTACAGAGTAAGGAAATTATAAACTTAGGAATGATTTTAGACGAAAAGATGACATGGATTCCTCATATCAAGAATTTAAAGAATGAGTGCTCCAAAAGAATGACCCTGGTCAAAGTCATTAGCCATACATCCTGGGGAGCAACTATACGATTATAAGGAGAACTTATCAAGCAATCGTCTGATCAAATTTGAACTATGGCTGTACACTATATGATGCGGCCAAGAAGAACATCAAGAATTTGTTAGATCTTATCAATAATATGGGAGAAAGACTGACGTGTGGTTCTTTCAAGACCAGCCCAACAATGAGCATTTTGCGTGAAGCAGATTTATTATCATTAGAAAAACTTAAAAGAAACCTAATTATAGGGTATACGATTAAAGTGGCAGCCAACATACTGAATCCAATAAATAAAGTGTTCGAGTGTGCATACAAACATTATAGAACATCTAGCTATAAAAAGAAGCTCCCGAGACCCCTATCAATAAGAGCAATTCAAACACTAAAGAAGATAAAAGAGAAACTACCATCCCTAAAGATTACGACTGTACCGGACTATGCCACCTGGACAATACGAGACATCAAAGTTATTGAATTGCGAATTGTCCTAACAAACAGAATACTAATCATCGTAAAATTGGTGCTCAAATAAGAAATGAACTAGTAAAATGTGATGGTTACAATACAATTTATACTGATGGCTCAAAGATTCTAAATAACGTAGGTTGCGCAGTAATAACTTCATGTGAGGTGATCACCAAAAAATTACCGGATGACTTCTCAGTGATATCCAGCGAATTATATGCCATAGCTGAGGCTCTTAAATACATCACAAGGGCCAATCAAAAAATATTTATGATAATAACAGACTCTAAAAGTGCTGTATCTGTTATCAGGAATCTATCCATTGATAATGTATTGGTCGAAGAAATAGTTGGAAAAATCAACCATTTGAACTCTGAGGGTAAAGAAATAGCTTTGTGCTGGATACCCTCGCACTTTGGCATTGCAGAAAATGAATTGGCAGATAGAGGGGCAAAGAAGGGCAAGAAGGCAAAGAAGCAGCGCAAATTAAGATCAGTTAGGAAACTTGAAGATGATAATCCAACTGTCAGTTTCTGCAGAAATGATCAGGTCGTCTTAACAAGATGTAGAATAGGACACACAAAATTTTCACACGGCTACTTATTGAACAGGACGGATGCTGATAACTGTAGTGTGTGTGCAAGATCCCTCTTTCAGTAGAACATTTGTTTGTTTGCCCTGAATATGAAAGTGCAAGAAACAAGTACAAACTAAGATCTCAATAACAAAGAACAGTGCTTTAAATTCATTTGCTTTGTAAAGGAAATTGACATGTATAACATATAACCATACATGTAAAATTCTTAGTTACTGTGTTATTTTGTACTGATTGTGTATTATTAAGGTAGTCGCTAATAACTCTATGTAGTTGATGCGACTGTAAATAAATCAAATCAAATCAAAATCAACTTCAACATCATTAGGGAAAATGAATATTTCAAAGAGGGACTACAGACGAATATGTCAGAAATTGCATGAGTTGATCTCGATATCTCGAGATGAAATGTTTTCTGCATTTGAATGACAATTCAAAACTAAATGACATAACATACACGAGAGAGGCAAATTGTTGAAGATACGACCTTTATTCGATGAACGCAGTGACAACTTTATGAAGTTCGATGTTTTCGCCGAGTGCCTCAGCGTAGACGAACAAATAATCCGCTACTTTGGACATCCCTTTTTGAAAGAATATATACAAGGGAAGTCTATTAGATTCGGTTTTAAACAATGGGCACTTTGTTGCTCAGACACAAGTTATTGCTTTTATATGGATGTGTATAAGGGTAAATGTAAAGAAATGGAAACACCTGGGCATCTGGGCCTTGGAGCAAGCGCTATACCAAAAAATTGTCAGTCTACTGAAAACACCACATTTGCACAGGGCTTACTTTGATAACTTTTTTACTCACTTTAATCTAATGTTGCATCTCATTGGCATTAGAGGAACAGGTACTGTGCAAATTTCCCGGACGAATGGATGTCCCATCACAAAAGATGAAGAAAAAGGAAAGAGTATTCGATTAAATGTTTGACACTAAGAATTAAATTGTAGGTGTTGGTTGGAAAGACAATTATGTACAACTGTTGATTAATTGTGGAGTATACGTAGTTGAGCCACTTTCACAAGTGAAACGATGGAATAGGTCTCAGAGGAAAGAAATAAAGGTGCCTCAACCACACCTTTTGGCAGATTACAACAAGAATATGGGGAGAGTTGATAAGCGAGATTGGAATGTGAAAAAGTATCGAACTAAAATTAGAGGTAAAATGGTATTTCATTATTTTTACAAATGCCATCGATACTGCATTAAATGCTTATGCCCTATATTGCATGGCCAATGGTAAAATTCTCCTTCTGGCTATCCGAAGGCATATTTGGCACATCCGTCGGAATTATCTGATTCGAAAGCCAAAGGAAGACCATCCAATGAGAGGGCCACATCTACCAGTCGTATACCAAGAGAAATCAGATATTCAAATATTAAGCACCTTCTTGACAGCACAAAAGGAGGTATAGAAAATATGGCGTTTTTAAGAAGAATGTGCGCAAACAATCCGTAAAATGTGATGTACGACTACATATGGTGTGTTTCAAGACAGCATAAAAAATAGCCATGAACTGTTGTGATCCCCAATTGGAGATTTCTCTTAAAATTGTACTTTTTTCAATAAAAATGTATTGCATTTCAAAAAGGGACTTAATATATTTCATTACAACATAAATAAATCCAAATTATCGTACTTAGATAAAAAATAAATTTTTGCAGTTTATGGGTTTAGGACATGAGAGGTGTTTCAAAAAATTACAGTTGTGTAACTTTTGAAAAAACGAAAGAATACGGCAAAATTTATTTGATGTCATCTTAAACAGTTCTGAAAACAGCATTTCTGAAAATTCGAAAGTTTGAGCTCATTTTCATAGAAAACTTCTAGTTTTCGAGAAATTTTATGAGATGTTATTATAACATGTTTTCTCTAAATGCAATAATGTAAAGAAATCACTATTAATGTAAATATTGACGCGAGAGACTATTAAAATCTATAAAATTTTTCCAATTTTTTAAAAAGAAAAGAATATCTCATTTATGTCATTTAATAGGCTATATTTATTAATATCACTACAAAAATAAAAATAAAAAACTGGTATTTGAGAAAATATTATTTTTGTTATTGTTTGAAATGGCACATATTGCATGCTATTTCATTATAAAACTATTCACTTTAAAAAATGTACCTGATGTTAATAAAAAACTAATTATGGAGAACAAATTTCAATTGAAGAAAATGTCTTGACCTTCAAATTTGTAGTTGTTGGAAGACGCCGAGAAAAATCACACTTGTAAACTTTTCGAAAATTGGGAATTAACCGTCAAAATTGGACCTTGGTCTTCTTTATTGTATATATTACACTCTTTTGACATGAAATTTAAAGAAAAAAATTGGAGCTATTTTTGAGTAAATTTTAAAAATTTCCCTAGTACTTCATGTAAAGTACCCCCAAATTTTAAAGGATGTTTTTCAGTATCGCTAAGCTTGGAATCGAGTCAGATCGACCTTGCAATATCCATTTTGGAAAAATATCCTACCTATGATTTAGACGCTAGTGATGTTTACAGGCGGATGGCGGCGGCGGCGGCGGCGGTATAACGGTTAGCGTATCGGACTGTTACACCCGAGTTGGCGGTACTTGCATGTAAAAAATCCTCAAGCTTAATGACGCCTCTGAGCTAAATTCAAATCGCCAGTTTCGTCGCCCAAGAAATACCTCCTTTCTCTGCTAGCTGGTGAAAGGAGCGTAGCGAAATTTGCGAGGTCAGACGGAAGAGCGGGCCTGATGGCCCGAGTCTCGCCACGTAAAATAAGGCATTAATTGAAGTCAATGGACGGACGGGCAGACGGATGTTTTAAAAAAAAACACTTTTTCGGCAACAGGGAACGCAAAAGTGTATTTCCGTTGAAATTTCGAAATCGATATTCCGCAGTATTACTTCACTTCCTTTATACTACGTATAATATTCCGTATTTACGTATCCATACGGGAAAGAAAAAATGAAATCAGAATATGAATCGAGAACTAATTGAAAACATTTAAAAACACGTTGCTTCCTGCGCCGGTTGCTGTCATAAGAATGGAAGCTCTTGAAATGTTATTGTAGTTAGCATAAATTGAATGCTATTGTATTAAGAAGCAATCACAAATATGGCGGTAAACTTGAAATATGAAATATTTGTGTTTTGAAGACTTCCATTTTTACAGTTTTATATCAAACATTCTGAAGGCATTGTTAATATTATTATTTTAACTACTAATATAATTTAAATATAGATAAACAAAAATACAACAATATATAAATAAAATCTGATACTGGTCGGTCTTTTCGACTTTTCTTTATGGCACGGAGTGAGAGAAGTGGAGGCTATAGCCTACATCACATCAGACAGGGTTTGCCGCGATGCTATTCGCGCCTCTTTTGCTTTTAATATAGACTGTAATAATGACATTACAGACGATCAATTAGAACGAATAATCAAGTAATTAATATTAATCACAAGTGTAAATAATTAGTGAATGATGATATTGCTTAATAATGAGATTTGTTATTAGTAGAAGCCCTAAATTGTCATCTTCTTCATTTCCATAATCACTTGAATTCTCATCTGCATTAATTATGATGTCTTGCACTGCGATTTCCATTGTCCCGTTCTTTTCTGTATTCTAGTTTCTTTAAGGTGGTAGTAGTAACCTTCCCAGTTTTTTTGTTGCTTCTATACACGCAACGCATCTCCTAGCTCCTAAGAGCGTATTGGAGTAATCCTCGTTTATTACATTATACAGCATCCTCCAGGGGCCGCTGGGTAGTCAAGTCACGTCAGTCGCAGTCAAGTCAGAGAAACGCCGATAGGTAGCGACTTCTGTCTCGCGTTTCGGCCAGAATTGGGAAGGAATAAGGATAGGGGTAAGGTGTAGGACGCTTCACAAGGGTAGGACTAGCCTTGTAAAGCATGCTAACTCGTTTTGTCATAACAAATTTCACATGAGGTTCTACGGGGTTTCTACGGGAATCGAACCCAGAACCTCAGTGGTGAAAGGCAAGCACTGAGCCACGAGAGCACTTTTTTTCTTATTTTTATCATACATAGCAGAGAGCTTTACTTTCCTGAATAACAACATTCATGCTGATGCAATTAGGAAGTGCTAATGTCTGGGATACAATCAACAGATTCTTCAAAAACTCAGGTTTTACACAAGTGATCCAATCTAGAAAAAAATGCACTTTCCTCAGTCCATCATAGCTTAGTTACAAGAATTTTGGTCACAGTCACGGCTCATGTGATCAGTCTTGCTGCAAGTGTAGCAGCTCTTGCTGGTTCCTCCCTGCGGGCAGTTACGGGCAATATGGCCCGTCTTGTTGCAGTTGTAGCAGGATGGTCCATCGGAGCTCTGCCTACAATCCCTGGAGATGTGCCCCAGCTCGTTGCAACGGTAGCACTGATCCTGCTCTTGCCTGCAGCCGCGCTTGTTCATTGCACTTGTAACATATCTGATCCGGCGGCGGCCACCGCCACCACCTCGGCCAAACATATCGTTTTCCGGACCATCTCGGGCAAGATAACCCGTACGAGAACACTTGTAACATGTACTTGAACTCATTATCGAAATCAGAAAAGACGGTAAAACGAAAAAGAACGGTACTAGAACACCTTACTCCATCAATACTACGTGGAACAGTGCAGTTTGATGCAGTCACAGCTTCAAATCCTCCGTTCGTCCACGTAGATGCGAAGCTGACATAACAGATATGCAGCTTATCACCAATTTGTACCAACCATACATGTTTTTTTGTGGGCCTGTTGGCCTCAGTTACACAGTAGAGTTCCGTTTTCATAGTCTAGAAGGTCAATGCACAAATTCGTTGCCAGAATTCAAATATTATTCTAATTTAATCAAAACCTAATCCAAATCGTTAAGACAAGAGGGAAGCAAAATCTCATCGTATAAAATAACCAATAAGGACGCACGGAAAAGTAAGGAACATCAAAAACGCGAGAACTAAATTCATACGGAAGTAGCGGTAGGTAGCCCTGATAATCTTGTCGCGCCATTCCGTTTGAGGCCAGGTTTTGTCCAGTCCGTGCCAAGTTCGGCTCTAGGGAGCTCAGACGCCAAGAAAAGTCGCGCGACTACTACAACACGTCGATTCAGAATAACGGTTCTTTACGCTATCATTAGGTCACCACTCATGTTTTACTGCAATAAACATGGCTGCTGCTAGGTATGCGAGCGTCAACCAAGAGCGCTGAAACCATAGCGCTGAAACCATAGCGCTGAAACCATAGTGTCAAGTTTAGCCACTCTATGTAGTACATTCTACCTGGTTGTTTTTACCCAATATGTCAATGAATCCACTAAATACTGGTCTTATCCGTTCACTTTACATTTGCAGACGGACTGCCGCGATTTGTTTCCATGACGTGAGCGCCGACTACATGAGAATCACACGTCTGCAGTAGATGCTGATTACTTTTTCTTTTTCTCGCATCAAATCGCTGGTGCCTTATAGCTCAGAGCGAAGTTGCTCGCCCGCTCCTTCACGAAGGATCGACGGGTTCGATTACCGAGTTTCGATTACCGAACAAGCTCAGGTGAAATTTGTTCCAACAAAACGAGTCTGCCTGCTTCACCGGGGCTAGTCCAACCCCTGTGAAGTGTCTTAAACTCTACCCCTCTCCTCCTTTCGCAGTTCCTTCCCAATCCAGGCCGCTGGGAAGCGTTGCCAGGCACTCAATTGCATATCCTAGTACCAACCTTCGAAAATCCTGGTACTTTCACTAAAATTCATGATACCAATGGCAATTTATTTAAATTCTGCAAATGTTCATATTATAACTCTATTATGGTTTAAACGTGTACAGGATGTTCGTTCAATTTAACTCATCGATTCATTTTATATAGATATACTAAATGGTATATCGATTTAAATCGCCCACCTAGGGAGTACAGGACCTTGACGTGGTGGTGGAACTTGTGTGCCCCCGTGAACCTGAGAGCTATGCCGGCGGTAGCGTAGCTACTGGTAGGGCCTCCTGGCGGACAGTCGAAGGGAGGGGTCAGACGAAAGTACTCAGAAGAGGACACCGGGGTTAGAATAGCCCCAAAAAGAGGACCTGAACCGAAAAGAAGAGAAAGTTCGACGTAAGATCCTGCTTCGACATGGCGAGACTGTCTCGAAAGGGTAGGCGAACTCTTTAGCCCAGCCAAAGCAATACGCCTAGGCGCTCGTGGTCCAAAATACCACCCCAGCTTGTTTGGAAGCTGTGAGGTGGCAGCCTTCACTACCAAACTTAACCTTGGCGCAGCGCTCGTAAACGCGCCAGGGATTCAATAACTTACTGGCTCTCGTTCACAATGCACAACTGGAATGGATCATGGAAAGGGACTTAAGCATGCAAAGGATAAACGACTTCGGTATTAACGGGACGGACTAAAACTAGCTACCTGGAAAGTCAGAGGGCTAGGTAATAAGAAGAAACTAGATAACAAAACTAAACGAAAAAGGAATAGATATAGCTGTTGATAACGGAACCAAAAAAAAGCGAAAGGTTTTCTAAAGATTATGAAACATTATACGACTGATCTACTGTGGAGTACTTTCAAAATAGACGGGAAGTAGTGGAGTAAGCATTATGGTTAACAAGAGTGAAAAATAGATAATGGAGTATTCCTTTGTAAATGAGCGAATTTGTTGACGTGCAAATTCAAGAATAGAGAGGGGCCACTTATACTTATAGGCAGTGTATGCCCCAGAAGAAGGAAGGAAAGAGGAACACACGGGACGTTTTTGTATGACGATCTTCAAAAACAAATAAAGCGAAAATAAACCAAAAATAGGTCATGTCCTCGTCATTGTGGGGCGACCTTGAAAACGCCAGGGTGGTAACATTCCGATGCCGGGAGTTGTCGGGGTATTTTGGGAACAGCACTTAAATAAAAACGCGAGGAAGAACTTAGACAGTTTTGCAGCCATTCAATAAGGTTGAAATTGCTGAATACCTTTTTCAGGAAAAAGAGAATAACACAAGTTCAACCTGGAGTGCCAGAGGGCCTCAGATCCCCACTGATAGATTATGTTAATCCGCAAATGATAAAATTAGTAACCAAATTAGACGAATGTACAAGTACACCCGAAGGATTTGATTAATATATTTCAGACCACTACCTAGTAGATTGCAACAATCAGCAATGTAGCAAAATGGGAAGAAAAATAGACCAAGGAAAGAGACAAGTCCAGGAAATTTTCAAAGTGTTACTACTGAACAAGGAACAGCATAAAAAAGACTAATTATCAAATCCGATTACCAAACAATTCTTTCAAGTGTTCCAAACTGTTGATTGATGTGGATAAGGAATGGCAGAATATAAAGGAATGCCATAGAGAGAAGCAGGCATATAAACTTTAGGAAAGAAAAAAAGCAATAAGAAAAGAAAGGACTGAGAAATATGGAACGATTGTATAGCGAAAGCCATAAAAGATAAAGATCTATATCATATAAAAAATTCCTTCAAACAAAACCAAGAAGCTTAAGAAGAATATAAACAAAAAAGAATAACGCTAAACAAATAATAAGATCTTGGCATATTAATGACTCAGGGGATAGATTTATACAAGCACCATCGAACATGATATACATGGGAAGACCAATTTTGTTTGCGTATACAAAGCCGTTAAGACATTTAAATCAGACGGAGAAAGAATGTATGCAGATATATGCATAATCAATGAAAGGAAACAATGGAAGGAACACTATATAAAACCTTGGTGTACTTGGGAACTGTTGAACTAAAAGCAGAAGAGCTTCCGCGTACAACAATACAGGGATTCCACCTCCCTTGGATGAATTAAAGCAAAAGCCTTTGAACAGTATAAAAAACAGGTAAGGGCATGGGGTTTGATGGAGTTAACATGAACTCATAAAAATATGCAGGCCCCCTAAGCGAATTTAGACTGCTTCATCGGTTTCAACGAATGCTGGCCGAAATTCTTATAAGACACCAATACTGCGAAAATAACAAGAGGTCGTATCTGTCTTTAAAAAGAATCTTATTGTAAAAGAATATTGAATGTTGGAAAACTACAGGGGTATCAGCCTCAAGAATGCGGCTATATAAAAGTATTTGCAAAAATTAAATCAACGCTCCATTGAAATAGTAGGCACAGGGCTAAATTACAAGAAGAACAATCGGATTTTCGGAAGGACCGCTCTTGTAACGACAAACATTTTAGTCTTAAAGGAATATTAGAAAAATATAGATATATATTATGATTGACCTTTATTGTAAAAATTGAATGGCATAGGCTAGTTCTGGAATTTACAGTTTGAAGCAGAATAAAACAAAACTAAACGCTTCTACTTTATGTAGATGAGCGTAACAATACTGCCAGGGAAAGTGAAGATGCATCTCGCAAACAACTGTATACACACTGTATCAACTGGAAGAAAAGAGTATAATCTCCGAATTCTAATACGAAGACTAAAGTTAATGGGCCATTGCCGGTAAAATACCCCATACGCTCAAAAATAGTTATTGACAACACCCAGTGGATCGACCAGACTCAAAATTTTTAATTACCTTGGTTTGTGACATTCAAGTCTATGACATAGATAAAGGACATAGAAATAAAACCAACTGAATAAATTTTTCAATCAATATGTGAATTAAATTAAACAGAAAACTACAGAAACAAAGCAAGGAAAGACACAAAAATGAAGTTCTAATAAGACAATTGGCTGCTCCAGTTCTCCTGTATGGAAGTGAATCGTGGATAATGAAAAAAAGAGACCAAAGTAAGCTCCAAGCAACAGAAATGAGATTTCTTAGGAAAGTTAAAGGCTGCATCAAACAAGAACAGATAAGAAATGAGGACATCCGTAAAGAACTAGATATATACAAAATAAATGAAAGGATCGTAGAAAACAGGATAGAATGGCGGCGCCATATCGAAAGAATGGAGGAAGATCGTATTCCACAATTAGTGATGAACTACCAACCGAAGGGAAGAAGAGATATCGGCCGACCAAGAAAGAGATGGTTCTGATGTGCAGAGCGAAGACGGAACAGGCACTTCTGCATAATCCCTGAAATGGAGAAGAAGAAGAAGAAGAAGAAGAAGAAGAAGAAGAAGAAGAAATAAATCGTGATAAATGAGCCTCGTGATAAATGAGGCGCGTACGCGAAGATGCTCCGAGGCAGTCCTCTTGACAATTGGCTGACGAGACGAGATGAAACATACTTAAATTCAATGCCATTTGGAATAGAAAAGGTGCTGGTAAATAACAAATATTAAAGAAGGATTGCTCCGGAAGAAGCTCTAACGACGATAAATATACGATAATGAATAATTAAGACGCAACAAATTCCAAAAACGTTCACTACATTATTTATAATTAGTTACTGCTATAATGCACTCTCGCATACCGAAGTGGATGTGATTTTTTCGCAGATGTTACAGAAACTACAACAAAACAAGCACTTTGTCTCAGGTGGCATCGTTTGCCAGGTGCTGTTAGACATTGGCACTATTC